CGGGGGCTGGAAACAAAGCCCCACTCAGACAGACACTCCTGCACACATCAAGAAATGTTTCCTTCCAGCCTAATCGTTTCTAATCCCATCTGCAACCTAATTATTAAAAACCTTCACAACTCAAGAGCTGTAAATGCCGCGCCAGGCAGGCGTCCCCAGCAGTAGTGCCAGGCTGTATTTCCAGGAAGCAAATCACACCCTCAAACCCTGAGCTCTTTTCTTTAAGAAACACGTGAATGCTCTCACTGTGGCACAAAGGAGGAGTGGAAATACCCAAGAAATATTAAGGACCCATTTGTTATTATGCCACTGCACAATGAACAGAGCCATTGTTCCCCACCTGGGCTAACACTGCCTTTCAGAAAACACAAAGTGCTTTTCCCCATCTGTCCTTTAAAAAATGTCAAGACCAAGGCTGCTGGAGCAGTTCAGAAAATAAAACACAATAAAATAAAGCAGCTAACAGATTGTTCAGAAGGTTTGCACACTTGATCTGTAAACGCTCTTTTATTTAATAAAAATAATCATCCATTATAGCAACTTCTGCTTGTGGTTTGGTTGGGTTTTTTTTTACATTAAAGCACAGTTTATTTGCTTTCCTCACTTCTTGAGGATTCAGTTCTGAAAATGCAAGTGAATGTAAACATTGCTCTCCAGGTCCCAAGATGCATCTGAGGACCCTTGGAGTTAATTACAAAGTCAAAAGAGAGAGCAAAATCAACAGAACACTTCTCAAAAGTAAAAACATATTTTTAAAGTCTCTTCCATATGACTCCAGAAAAGACAAATTCATCTTATACATGAAACTTACACAAACTTTGCTTTCTCCAAACAATTTCTATGACTTGTGTTTGACTAAGCTGTTTTCATAACATTAAAAGACTTGCAGACTCATTTATTGTTAGAAATAAAAAGCTTTTCCTATAAATGTTCTCCAGAAATTTATTCATGGCACAAGGATGTTAGATTTGTTCTGTCCATTTTTGTTTTGGTTTGGTTTTGGTTTTTTTTGTTGTTGTTGTTGGGTTTTTTTTTAGCAGAAAGAGCTGAAAGCCATTTCAGGAAAGAGTGTAAAAGCAGTATTAACTCTCTCCTGCTGCAATCTCACAATATTTACACACACAGTTTAAAAAAAAAAAAAAAAAAAAAAGCTGAGTTACACTATAAAACACTGGAAAAAATGTCTGTTAGGTTTTCCACTTCAGAGTTTTGCCCTGTATAAGACTTAAAGAGGGATGCTTTAATATGTCCTAGAAAAATCAGACTGGCAGATTAAAAATTGAACTTTTCTCCCTCTAACCGAGAAAGGCGAAACGGCCACTGTGCACAGACCCCCTCCTCTCTGCAGGAAATCCCACAGGAGTTAAACTACCACAAAGCAACACAGATGAGATAACTTGATATGCAGAGCCCTGTTATTTGCTTTGAAATGTTATCTATTTACAGTTGAGGTGGAGGAAGCGAGCGAGCATCGAACACATTTCGGTGCTGCAGGCTGGTATAATATCAAACAAGATTAACTCGTGGGGAGCTTGGCTGGGTCCCAAGCCTCACGTTGCAGGGGAGATAGTCTCGGTTGCCTGGGACATCCCTGCCTGCACAGCAAAGGCACCGCTCCATCAGGGTCTGCTTTAATGAGTAACGAGACAGCAGTTGCCATCTCAGCTGTATTGTACCACAGGCAACGCAGCAATCAAACAGAAACAGGTAAGATATAAAAAAATAACAACAGAAATAGCCAGTCTGGTGAGGTCTGTGATCCTAAGATTTACAGCGAAAATTTAAAAATTACATTGAAAAATCTGGTGATATTATCAAACTGTCAGGTAGGGGATGGCTCTAGTTGTTCAGTGGTTTTAAGAGAGGGGATTTTCAGGGGGTGGGAAGAGAGAGACTTTGAAGGTGTCAAAAATTAAAGCATTCACAGTTTCAAAGCTGCTTGCCTTACAAAAATTAAGACATTCAAATCCAAGAATACAATACTGTATTTTACAAGGGGGTCAAAATTCATACATATACAACAGGGAAAAAAAAAGATACAACAAAATAAAAAAAGCCAACACCTCTGGTGTGGCATACTCCCTCTTTGTTGTTCGTCTCACGGAGCTGCACACTGTTTGTCTTTAAAGAGTCAAACTGAGCAGTCATGAAAATATCCACTGAGAGATTCTGGCAAAAGAAAAAAAAAAAAACTAACAAAATAAACCAAGCAAGTCAAAGGCCATCCTCCCCCAGGAAGCCGAATGCCATGGCTCGGACCTCCACTTGCCTGCTGCTGCTCCTCACTGCTGCTTCCCAGCGCTTCCATAGGCTCCTCTCAGGTTTTAAAGGTTTCCTGCTCACAAGCTAAAGGAAACCATCCCATGCAAGCACAGCCCGAGAGAGACATGCTTTACTCTCCTACAAAGTCTTGATTAGTCCTGCCCACAGCAAAGGGTCCTTCAAACAATCCTTTTCCTCTCTATCCTGCAGAGGATCCTTTTGAAGGCCCGCCTGAAGTCATGGTTGAAAATGGTATAGATGACGGGGTTCAAGGAGCTATTGCAGTAACCGAACCAGAAGAAGAACTTGAAGAGGGTGTCGGGCACGGAGCAGCTCTCACAGACGGCCGTCAGCGTGTAGGTGAAGAAGAAGGGGAACCAGCAGATGACAAAGACCCCAATCACCACTGCGAGCACAAAGGTGAAGCGCTTCTCCCGGTTCTGCCTGCCCCTCCACCGCGACCCTTTGGTGTTCCTCTCCTCCTCTGTCTTCCTGGGCAAACTGTCCCCAGGCTTAATTTGGCTCAGCTTAGTCTTGGTCTTTCCTCTCGACGGTCTCTCTGACTTCTTACACTGGTTGTTCTCCTGGTGCTCAGAGGAAGAGGTCTCCTCCATGTCTATGCCATTGACCTCTCCCTCCTGCCCACCACTGCCTCCTGCCGCCTTCTCCCCGTTGAGCTGCGCCGTGGCTGGCAGGTCCTCCTTGTCGGTCAAGCCATTCTGCTTCTTTTCAGGGCGCTCTGCCCGCTTGTTTGGTGGTACCCTGGTTCGCCTCTTGGCTATCTGGTAGATGCGCACGTAGACCAGGATCATGATGAGGCAGGGGGCAAAGAAGGAGCCAATGCTAGAAGAGATGATGTACCACTTCTCATCGTTGATCTTGCACTCTGCCACCCCCTGGTCAGCCTGCTGCCCGCTCTTCTTCTCGATGGAGATGAGTGGTGGGAAGGAGATGACAGCCGAGATGACCCAGACGATGAAGATGATGCACTTGATGCGGCGTGGGGTGCGCTTGAGGTTGTACTCGATGGCTTGTGTGATGGACCAGTAACGGTCCAGGCTGATGGCACACAGGTGAACAATGGAGGAGGTGCAGAACAGCACATCCAAGGCCAGGTAGATCTCACACCAGACTTTACCGAAGTACCAGTACCCCATCACCTCATTTGCCAGTGAGAAGGGGATGACCAGTGTGGCCACCAGGATGTCAGCCGAGGCTAAGGAAACCAGGAAGAGGTTCTGGGGGGCTTTGAGCGCCCGGCTGGTGAAGACAGCAATAATGACCAGGACGTTGCCGAAGACAGTGAAGAGCATGAGCAAGCCGGCCAGGCTGATGAGGGTGATGGTGGTGTGCAGAGGGTACGGCGTGCCCCAGCCCGGCCCGGCCCCGCTGTCGTTGAAAGTCCCGTTGTTGCCGGGAGGTGGGTAGCCCTCCTCCTCCTCCAGCTGCCGCTGGTACTCCATGGAGGAGAAGAAGTGGCCCCTCTCCGTGAACGGGCGCTCCAGGTTAAACATCAACGCCGTCTGCGCGGACACCCCCGCCCTTCGCCCCGGCTCCACCCGCGCCGTGCCCGGCTCTAAGCCCGGCTCCAAACCCGGCTCTCCGCGTCCTACTGTGCCGCCAGCCGGGGCGGAGCGGCGCGCCGGGGGCCGGGGGGCTGCGGGCGCCCACCGCGCATGCTGAGCGCTGCCGCCGGGACCCTCCGAGCGCGGCGGGGCGGAGCGGAGCGGAGCGGGGCCGGGGCTAGGGCTGCAGCCGCCGCGGCTGCTCTGCCTCGCTCGCCGCCGAGCAGCTTTATAGCCCCGGATCGGGCCGGGGCTGCCGCGTCAGCCCCACGTGGGGAGCTGCCCCCGGTGCGCGCACACGCACAGAAGAACACACACTCACACACAGACACGCACTCGCACAGACAGACAGACTCGCACACCGCGCACCCGCACCCCGACAGAGACACCCGCGTCCGCCGCCCCCCGCACACTCCCCTCGCTCAGCACTCACGCCCGCCCGCCCCGCGCACACACCGCACCCGCTCCCCAAGCGGCCCCGCCTGTATTCGCACCCCCTTCTCGCCCCTCGGCACCCCAGCGCACACACACGCACCCCGCGCTCCCCGTCCCACGGTGTCGCCCAGCCCGGCTCCCCGCCCCGCCCGGGGAGAGGAGCGGCCCCGTGGAGCGGCTCCCGCCGTCCGCGGGGGTGGCCGTGCGGGGCGCGGCTGGAGGCGACCACCGTGCGGGCGGCTGCGCAGCCACCGCGGGAGAGCCGGGGGTGCCCCGAGCCGGGCTGCGAGGGGGGGGTGAAAGCTGCCGTCCCGTCCCGCGTGTGCGGCGGGGATACCGACGGGCTCCGCTCCGGGTGCCGGGTGTGCGGCCGCGCCCGAGGGCAGCGCCTCCCCACGGCCCCGCGTGTGAGCCAGGCGGGGCTGACCCGGGGACCCCGCTGGGTGGAGGGGTCCCGCTGGGACGGAGGGACCCCGCGGGGCGGGCGGCGGCGGCCCGGGCAGCGCGGCGGGGCAGTGGCACCTGGTGGCCGCGGCGCCTCACTGCACCCGGGCCGAGCGCCCCGCTCCGCAGCATCCCGCCCCGACGGCAGGGACACGCTTCCCACCGGGGAAGGACAGGGCGGCAGAGCAGCAGGGGATGGGGGCAGCCCCCCCACTGCCAGATCACCCCCAGCCCGGCTCAGACCCGGCTGCACGGGCACCCACGGCGGCCCCCACGCCACAGCGCGGGCTCAGCACACTCGCTCCTAGAGCACACCCCCGCGTTGCCTCCCCGTTTTCTCTCCCCAAGGGAGGCAGGCAGCTCTCCCACAGGGTGCCTCACACATGGAAATCCTCCCCAGGTGCTCCCCGGCAGCACCGGTGTTGGCATCGTGCACCTGCATTGGCTGCAACAGCAACATGGGAGGTTTGTGTCAGCACAGGAGCGACAGTGACGCTCCGGGTATCCCGCCCAGCCCCGGGGCTGCCAGCTCTCAGCCTGTACAGATCACTCACCCAGACTCCAGCCCCGGTGCTCTCACTCGCAGCCTCTAATGATGCTCACTTGGTGCTCCAGATCCAGGCTGCTCTCAATTAATCGCCGTGCCGAATGCTCGGGCCAATGAACGTATTTCCTCTGCGAGATGGAGGAAGCCCTGTCATCTTTGTCCCTGTGCCACACACCGTGTTATAAGCCAGGCCCAGGAGCAATTACGCCCAAGAGAGGGAGCAGGAATGGGAGAGACAGTCAGGGAGCCAGAGAGAACAGCCTCTGGAGCTAACACACAGGTGGGAAAATGAGGGGGAATCCCACTGTCTGAGCAAAGGAGAGCAGTACCCACTACATTGGTGTGCCTGGGAAAAGGGCAATCTGCAGAGAGTAACTTATAACCTATAAATTGAACCCAAGACGACTGATATGCCCACACAAAACATCCCTATATGAGATTAAATGCAATGTATAATCACAGACTTCACTGCAAGGATGAAGGGACTCACCTAAGTCTACGGCAAGGCCAGGTGGGAGGTCAAGGAGATGCTGGACTTTGTAAACAACTCCTGCCTTCTGCTGGCTGCAGGGGACTGGTGTGGTCTGCAGGAGGACACTGTTGTTCTGTCTGCCAGAGGGTCTTCCCCTCCCTCAGATGTGGGATCTGCATCACCCCTGGCAGAAGCCTCTTTGGTCAGTGCCTGGTGGAAGGACTCAGAGAGAGGAGGGTTGCAGGCCATGTCCCACCAGCATGGATGACCCCTTCTGTGATCAGTTTGAGCTCAGCTGTAACACCTGCACTAAGGCCACCGGCACTGTCTGAGATGCTTTGTTCCAGACCTGGGCTGGTGCCTTTCTGGAAACATCCTGCCTTCCCCCCATGCCTCCTGCATTCCCCAACACAGCCAGAGCGCCGATTTAAATGACAAAACATGACCAGCTGCCTTGATTTTCTGTCCCTTTTTGTAGGTAGACACCTTCAGTCTGCCTGAAGCTAAACCCACCCAACAACGTTGCTCCTAAGCCACCGCATTGCAAAAGCAGAGCTTTGATCAATTCTCTTTGCTGGGACAAAGAGGGCAAGGGGAACACATGAGGCCCAAAGAAATAAAAAAAGGGGTTTGTTCCAGAAACACTGCTAGAAAGAGAGCTCCCTGCAAGTGGGGAACAGCTGGGATGGCATTGTACTCATCTCAGAGAGAGAGAAAACCTGCTTCATCAAAGGCACTTTCCTCGCACCACCACCATTGTTGTGCATGTGACATCTCTGTGATTTTATTGACAGCAGAAGTGCTCAGCGCTGTCTGCAAAGTGACTCAGTAATGCCAACTCTCCCCTTGATTTTCTCTGCAGGTTACCTCATGGCTCTGCACAATTCTTGAGATGAAAGGTGGTCAGAAACTGCCAGGGCTGGCAAGGACCCGGAAGATCTCACTCAACAACCTGTGGCACACCCTGACCTACTAGACAGTCATCTTTACAAGTCTATATCATTCTTGATGATAATTTGGAATATTCATAAAGCCTCCCATTCAACTCCCAGAGCCCTAGGATTAGTCAAGAAACTTAAATTTTTAGCCCCTGGAAGACTATAGAGAAAAGCTTCATGGGGGAAAAGAAACAGCTAGTAAATAACATTTTTATATCAATCCCCTGGCGTTGGCATCCAGATGCTCAATTTTTGGATGCGTGCTGCTGACAGCATTGATATGAGCTGTTAGGACTCTGCAGTTCAAACTTAGTCAACAAGTGTCTGACAAGACAGCCCAGGAACCAGCCTGTTCTCTGGCAGCATCGCAAAATGAAGAGCTGCAGGAGCCTGCCCTTTCCCCGGAAAGCAGCCTGGCTTCTCAGCAGAGCCCCACGAGGAACCAGGCTCGCCAGACAAGGGGGGATAGCCTGGGTGCGCACTAATGAGTGAGGCTGGAGGCTATCGATCCTCCTCTGATGGCTCCCCCTCCGTCGGCTGCCATCCCGCGAGGGCAGCGATGCCCTTTCCGAGGCGCGGCGGCGAAGCTCGCATTCAGCATGTGTCCCTCGAGCGCGTTCCCCGCAAACAAACTGACCTTTCTGGCTGGTTTCAGGTCATTAATTAGGCACGCTGCTTCCGTGTTTATACATCTCTTCCGCCCATCAACTCCTGCATCGCTTCCAGCACCGTCTCCATTGGTGCAGGGGGAGCCAGGACCACGCTCCCCTGATGCCTCTCGGGGAGAAGGAGCCGCGAACCGTTCATGCAGTCTCGGAGCTGCTCACAGCATGAAGCAAATCACATATGGAGAGATAATCTCTGGAAAGAATTGCTATGGTAATAAGGCTGCAAAATGTGTGTTTTGAACAAGCAGCCCCAGGAATTGTTTGTTTCCAGAAGAGCAGTGAGATTCTGGCAGGGGAAAAAAAAAAGTAACAAAAACTGCCGAAGGTCTGAGACTTGCTTTTTAGACCGTCTGGTTCAGGCCTGAAGAAGCTAGGCAAACCTAAAACTATCTCAAGGCATGGCAGTAGAGACTCCTGGGGGGATCACATGAAAGGGTCAACCACTGAAAAGGGAACAAGGTGCAGAAATTACTGCTCAGCAGAAGCTTTCAAGAACAGCTCTGTGCCAACTTAACAAAAGCCATTGAAGAGGGAAGCCTTGGAGCTGTGGGTGCTCTGTGTCAGGAGGTAAACAGCAGTCACAGTTTGCTTTGTATGAGGAGGTTTGCACTGATCTCAGTATTTGCATATCCATGGCAGGAAGCCCTTGTTGCAGCTGTGTATTTTGATCATGCTACTGGGTGTATCTGAATATATCAAAGCAGGGTGTCTTTCAGGAAGATTTGCTTTACTAACTGTTCAGCTACCCTTGGGAGTAAGGCACTGAAATCCCATGGCTTGTGACACCCTGTGCACTAATGACTGAGTAGACCCTTCACAGCAGCTTCGAGATGGTCAATTTTCCCACAGGCCCAGAACAAGCTGGCAGAGATGCACCCAAGCCACATAAAAAATGATTTTCCCCTTTACTGTGTTAACCCCATGAGGAAAAACACTATAGGAGCTATCAGGGAAGAGGTACAGATGTTCTGCAGGCCAAACCTGGATTTGCTGGGTATATAATGATGCCACTGCAAAATAATACAGCAAGCACACCACCCACTTCCAGGTGGGTGTTTCAAGTGCTGTGATTCCTATTTTCCTTCTATTTTTAAAATTAATTTAAAAATTGGCTGTTGTGGCCACACCTCCAGCCACTTTGGGACCCCAGGCCTTTTTCCTTCTACACACACATTCAGAGCCACAGCCCTTTGTTTCCCCATCTGCTGCTGCACGTGAGAGTTTGGGTTTTGCACTTTTCACAGATCTCACAGCAATGGCTCCTGCAGAGCCTGTTTTTCAACAGTTTGTCTGGACTCAGCTGCTGGATGTACTTTTCCTAGTTATTTGAATAAACCAGTAGGAAATGGATAGCTGTGGCAGTGGTCTGTGCTAGCACCTAATCCCCTTGCAAGCAGTGATGCTGCACAGTATCAGATGTTCAGAGGGGAAAGAAAGGAGACACACTGAATATTACCTATGGTGGCAGTTCTTCACTACTCCCATCTGCAGACAGCTGGCTCAAACCAGCACAAGATGGATCGTTTGTGACCACCTGCTCCTCAGGGGATTTTTTTTTGCAAACAACTTGAAAGCTCTGCTTGCCTTTCCTCTGCCTTTCAGGTTGCCTGCCCTGTTCAGCAGGATTTCAACTACCAGATTTGACTGAACCGCCCTAAACCAACAGCCAAGAGAAACATTTCCACGCTACAGATCATGGCATGGCAGAGTTGGGGGTGAGGCTGAGACCTGGGGACTGTGCTCATGCAAGCTTCTGGTTTATTTATTCAGTATTTTCACTTTTTTGTTTCTGCCCGGTGTCACAGCAGCCTCTGCAACATAAAAGTCTCGTTTCAGCAAGACTGGAGGAGCGATGCACAAGAAACCTCGCTGGCCTTGTGCCCCTCAGGCACTTCAATGCCTAGGGGAGAAGAGAGAGAAGCGAGAGAGAAATGTGCATTTTCTTTCTGTAGCACCCACAAGCACATATACACACGTGTTCTCTGTGCCAAGCACACGCGACTGCGTTTTTATGCAGTGCTGTTTTCTTTATTCAGTTCTCTGCCTGGGAATCCTCCCTCCTAGCTGCATCCTGCAACGTGGCCAGAAGTAAACACCAGGGGGCCATCCCTCAGTGCTGGGGAGCAGCTCTGCTCCCCTCCCCAGGTTTCCCATCATGCCAGCTCACAAGATGGATCCCACTGAAATTAGCCAGTAACAGTGGAAACATAGTAGAAAATAAACCAAACCACACCTCTCACTATCACTCCCTCACTGGGGAAACTGGCTCATTGCTCCTCCTAAAACCCTTACCCATACTATGATGGGCTTTCCCATAGATATAGGACCATATAGCCAAAACACAGTGAAAACACAGCCAAATCCTTCAAGCCCTGGCTAGAGCAAGGGAAACTAATACTGCCCAACCTCTGGCCCTGCTCCCTCTCAGAGGCTGCCCCCACACAGCCTGTGGGCACTCCCTGATCCACTCCAGCACAAAGGCTCCCTCAGCAGCAATGCCCTACTGAGCAATAACAAAGACAGAAGCAGTGCCATGCTCCTGAATTCAGGGCTGACAGGTCACTGTTCCAGCCAGCTGCAAAGGGAATGGCTGTCCAAGCCTGCACTAGAACAGGTTGCTCAGAGCAGTGGCAGATGCCCCATCCCTGAAAGTGTTCATGGGCAGGTTGGACAGGGCACTGAGTGACCCAATCTAGTTGAAGATATCCCTGCTCATTGCAGAGGGGCTGGACTAGATGACCTTTAAAAGCCCCTTCCAACACAAATAATTCTATGAAAAGCAGGTAGTCCTGGAAAGTCTCTCCTGAAGAGAGGCACCCAGGACAGCATTCAGAGAGCAGAAAGGTTGGGCACTAAATGAAACCTATCAAGTTTCTGCAGCTCAGTAAGTTCATGAGCAGAGTCAGTCTATGTTTAGGACATCCTGTGCAAAATTGAGACTGCCTCACTTTAAACCCTTTAATTTCCCAACTGGGAGTCATTGGTATTCAATTACTCAGCCAAGAAGTAACTCATTTGTTCAAGTTCCACTCCCCAGGGCCCAAACGTGTGTATCTGCCCTTTCCCTCCCCGTTCTTCACCATCTAAGTTGGAGACTGACACAGTAACGCTACCTCTGGGCCAGGGACTGCCATCAGAAATATTCATTCGATCCCTCTTGCAAAGGCAGAAGTGCCGCAGGTGAGCTGTAACTCTCCAGTCCATCACACATCCCCAGCAAACTCCTCTGGCACAGCCAGGGCAAAGCTTTCAGCGAAGCAAACAGCTCTGAAAACAAAGGACACAACAGAGAGCAGCCAAGCGGGGATTGTAATTCCCACCTGCCCGAGTGTGGGTCTCACAGCAGGTTCAGATGGGAAAGGGGAATCAGATCACACACCCCCTTTCAAAAACCAAACCAAAGCAAGCTGCTACAGCAGGAGACAACTTTCCATGCACCCTTGCAACAGGCAGGTTTGCTACCTGTGTCTAACCCAGCTTGCCATGTCTACACTGACACAGTGTGGCAGCACTGGAGTTAAAAAGATCAAAGAATCAGGGTGGCAGCAGCAGTTCTTGAAGGCTGAGCTATATTAAAGGTCCAGGGGATAATTGCCTGAAATTGCCGAGTTCCCAGAAAGCAGAGCACGTCAGTGTGGTTTCACGGGGAGCAAGGCTGCAGGGCAGCAAGACTTCCCATGTTTTCCCTTGTTCCTTATTTCACCATCTAGTGGCAAAAGCAAGTAACACCGAGGAGCCATCCAGGAGCTGCAGTGGCTCTGGAAGACCTCACTTTGCATCAGCTCCTCCTAGCCAGATCCACAGCTGCCTCAGCTGGGGACACCGAGAAGGAAGGACACAGCCAGCACCCAGAGCCCTGCAAGTTCCCCAGTTCTAAACCATGGCCCTGTATAAAGACTCCCCTGCACAGGCTGACTCCCATCCCAGATGGCCCACTTTGCCAACCCCATACTGCTGTGTCCCTGCTGTCCCCCCAGCCCAACTATAACCCACAGGCTCCTGTAACTTTGCCCCCAGGCACCAGTAGCCTCCCTCTTCAAAATCACCCAGCCCCAAGGGGACAGTAAGCACAGACAGGCACAGAAGATCAGCACTGGGCAGAGCAAACCAGGTCTCCCAGTGATCAAGCCCAGCTGAGCTACGAATGGCACAGGCTGAGCCAACACCCCAGGAAAAGACATCACATCACAGTGAGCAGAGTCCTTCTGAGTTAAGACTTTTCCTTCCCCACCTCAGCTGAACTGTTAACCAAGGCTGCAGTGGGCAAAACAGAAAGGGTGTTGGAAAGCGACACAAATACCTTAGAGGACAAACCTTTACTGTGGACTCAGCCGGGTGCTTGAGTGCCTGGAGTGCTGAGCAGAGCTTGCCTTCATCAGCTCTCCAGAGCTGCTTTCTCCCTGGGCTGCCCCTTTGCCACCAGGCCACGCCAGAGGGGAGATTTCCAACAAGGCTGGGCTGCCTCCCCACGCCCTGGCCACAATCCACCCACTTGGATATGGCAGGGATATTTGCTTGTGAAACTGCTCCGTGGGAAGGAAGGAGAGGGCACCTGTCTCTGCAGGGGAACCTCCCAGAACGGAGAGCTCACAGAGCAGGTGCAGCCCCCACGGCAGGGCCAGGGCCTGCCCCACATTTGAGCTCCGGCTGGCGGATGGTCCAACACCTTCATGGCCTGTGTGGGGACAGCCAGGTGAGCCAAAAGCACAGAGGAACGTTCATCATCTGGTGAGAACAGGAGGGAGGGTTCTTCTCTTCAAAGCCAGGTTTTCCATCCTCACGGTGATTTTCAAATTCTGCATCCATCAGTGTTACTGCGCTCATTTCCACACTGCCCACAACAAAGATCCCTGTGCAGATTGCATATGGATATTGCAGGTTGCAAGGTACAATCACAGGGATATTGCATGGGGGTACTGCAGATTGCAAGGTACAACTTTTTTTTTCCCTGAGAGGCTCAAATTAAGTTTAAACACCAGCTTTTGATTTATTGCTAATTCAGCACTGTCAGTTGCTTCTCAGCAATACAAACTAGCTCTCTCCCCAGGAAACATTTATCCTATCTGGGAATTGAGGGTGGTAATGTGTAATCAGGACAAAGCACTTAGAGAATGCAGGCTGAGAGAAGCACTATAATACATCTCCACTTGTGTTTTTTCAACTCTTT